CCAAAATTTAGCGAATTTTGCCGGTCTGAATATTAAATCATGCTCCCAAAGCATCCTTAAGCATTTCTGAGTAATTTGGAGAAAATTCATTTTTTGGCCAAAATCGAAAAAAAAGTAAGGCTTACCCCTTACATTTTTTTCAATTTTGGCCAAAAAATGAAATTTCTTGAAACTTGCTAGGAAGATACCTCAGGGTCCCTAGAACACGTTTCCAGTCCTACATCGGACAGATAGGCCTTTACAAGGAAATATTACGTCCACAATTTGAGGTAAAATAGGTCAAATACATGTATATGAAATTTTACCCAATGATGTCACAATTTTGGCCAAAATTTAGCGAACTTTGCCGGTCTGAATATTAAATCATGCTCCCAAAGCATCCTTAAGCATTTCTGAGTAATTTGGAGAAAATTCATTTTTTGGCCAAAATCGAAAAAAAAGTAAGGCTAACCCCTTACATTTTTTTCAATTTTGGCCAAAAAATGAAATTTCTTGAAACTTGCTAGGAAGATACCTCAGGGTCCCTAGAACACGTTTCCACTCCTACATGTGACAGATAGGCCTTTAAAAAGGAAATATTACGTCCACAATTTGAGGTAAAATAGGTCAAATATATGTATATGAAATTTTACCCAATGATGTCACAATTTTGGCCAAAATTTAGCGAACTTTGCCGGTCTGAATATTAAATCATGCTCCCAAAACATCCTTAAGCATTTCTGAGTAATTTGGAGAAAATTCATTTTTTGGCCAAAATCGAAAAAAAAGTAAGGCTAACCCCTTACATTTTTTTCAATTTTGGCCAAAAAATGAAATTTCTTGAAACTTGCTAGGAAGATACCTCAGGGTCCCTGGAACACGTTTCCACTCCTACATCGGACAGATAGGCCTTTAAAAAGGAAATATTACGTCCACAATTTGAGGTAAAATAGGTCAAATACATGTATATGAAATTTTACCCTATGATGTCACAATTTTGGCCAAAATTTATCGAATTTTGCCGGTCTGAATATTAAATCATGCTCCCAAAGCATCCTTAAGCATTTCTGAGTAATTTGGAGAAAATTCATTTTTTTGGCCAAAATCGAAAAAAAAGTAAGGCTAACCCCTTACATTTTTTTCAATTTTGGCCAAAAAATGAAATTTCTTGAAACTTGCTAGGAAGATACCTCAGGGTCCCTAGAACACGTTTCCACTCCCACATCGGACAGATAGGCCTTTAAAAAGGAAATATTACGTCCACAATTTGAGGTAAAATAGGTCAAATACATGTATATGAAATTTTACCCAATGATGTCACAATTTTGGCCAAAATTTAGCGAATTTTGCCGGTCTGAATATTAAATCATGCTCCCAAAGCATCCTTAAGCATTTCTGAGTAATTTGGAGAAAATTCATTTTTTGGCCAAAATCGAAAAAAAAGTAAGGCTTAACCCTTACATTTTTTTCAATTTTGGCCAAAAAATGAAATTTCTTGAAACTTGCTAGGAAGATACCTCAGGGTCCCTAGAACACGTTTCCACTCCTACATCGGACAGATAGGCCTTTAAAAAGGAAATATTACGTCCACAATTTGAGGTAAACTAGGTCAAAAATTTGAAATTTTACTCAATATTATCACAATTTTGGCAAACATTAAGTCAATTTTGCCGGTCTGAATATTAAATCATGCTCCCAAAGCATCCTTTAGCATTTCTGAGTATTTTGGAGAAAATTCATTTTTTGGCCAAAATCGAAAAAAAAGTAAGGCTAACCCCTTACATTTTTTTCAATTTTGGCCAAAAAATGAAATTTCTTGAAACTTGCTAGGAAGATACCTCAGGGTCCCTAGAACACGTTTCCACACCTACATCGGACAGATAGGCCTTTAAAAAGGAAATATTACGTCCACAATTTGAGGTAAAATAGGTCAAATACATGTATATGAAATTTTACCCTATGATGTCACAATTTTGGCCAAAATTTAGCGAATTTTGCCGGTCTGAATATTAAATCATGCTCCCAAAGCATCCTTAAGCATTTCTGAGTAATTTGGAGAAAATTCATTTTTTGGCCAAAATCGAAAAAAAAGTAAGGCTAACCCCTTACATTTTTTTCAATTTTGGCCAAAAAATGAAATTTCTTGAAACTTGCTAGGAAGATACCTCAGGGTCCCTAGAACACGTTTCCACTCCCACATCGGACAGATAGGCCTTTAAAAAGGAAATATTACGTCCACAATTTGAGGTAAAATAGGTCAAATACATGTATATGAAATTTTACCCAATGATGTCACAATTTTGGCCAAAATTTAGCGAACTTTGCCGGTCTGAATATTAAATCATGCTTCCAAAGCATCCTTAAGCATTTCTGAGTATTTTGGAGAAAATTCATTTTTTGGCCAAAATCGAAAAAAAAGTAAGGCTAACCCCTTACATTTTTTTCAATTTTGGCCAAAAAATGAAATTTCTTGAAACTTGCTTGGAAGATACCTCGGGGTCCCTAGAACACGTTTCCACTCCCACATCGGACAGATAGGCCTTTAAAAAGGAAATATTACGTCCACAATTTGAGGTAAAATAGGTCAAATACATGTATATGAAATTTTACCCAATGATGTCACAATTTTGGCCAAAATTTAGCGAATTTTGCCGGTCTGAATATTAAATCATGCTCCCAAAGCATCCTTAAGCATTTCTGAGTAATTTGGAGAAAATTCATTTTTTGGCCAAAATCGAAAAAAAAGTAAGGCTTAACCCTTACATTTTTTTCAATTTTGGCCAAAAAATGAAATTTCTTGAAACTTGCTAGGAAGATACCTCAGGGTCCCTAGAACACGTTTCCACTCCTACATCGGACAGATAGGCCTTTAAAAAGGAAATATTACGTCCACAATTTGAGGTAAACTAGGTCAAAAATTTGAAATTTTACTCAATATTATCACAATTTTGGCAAACATTAAGTCAATTTTGCCGGTCTGAATATTAAATCATGCTCCCAAAGCATCCTTTAGCATTTCTGAGTATTTTGGAGAAAATTCATTTTTTGGCCAAAATCGAAAAAAAAGTAAGGCTAACCCCTTACATTTTTTTCAATTTTGGCCAAAAAATGAAATTTCTTGAAACTTGCTAGGAAGATACCTCAGGGTCCCTAGAACACGTTTCCACACCTACATCGGACAGATAGGCCTTTAAAAAGGAAATATTACGTCCGCAATTTGAGGTAAAATAGGTCAAATACATGTATATGAAATTTTACCCAATGATGTCACAATTTTGGCCAAAATTTAGCGAACTTTGCCGGTCTGAATATTAAATCATGCTTCCAAAGCATCCTTAAGCATTTCTGAGTAATTTGGAGAAAATTCATTTTTTGGCCAAAATCGAAAAAAAAGTTAGGCTAACCCCTTACATTTTTTTAAATTTTGGCCAAAAAATGAAATTTCTTGAAACTTGCTTGGAAGATACCTCAGGGTCCCTAGAACACGTTTCCACTCCTACATCGGACAGATAGGCCTTTAAAAAGGAAATATTACGTCCACAATTTGAGGGTCAAATACATGTATATGAAATTTTACCCAATAATGTCACAATTTTGGCCAAAATTTAGCGAATTTTGCCGGTCTGAATATTAAATCATGCTCTCAAAGCATCCTTAAGCATTTCTGAGTAATTTGGAGAAAATTCATTTTTTGGCCAAAATCAAAAAAAAAGTAAGGCTATAAAAATAGCCTTACATTTTTGATGAAATTTGGCCAAAAAATGGCTTTTCTTCAAACTTCGCAGAAATGCCTCTTGATGTAAGGGGAGTATCATTTACTATTGAGACATCTAAAATTTCGAATATCATGGGCAAAAATAATTTTTTTTTTTAAGAAAAAATTAATAATTTTGATTGATTTTCCCACAAAATATTGACGCATTATTACTTTTCAAAGGCAATTTTCTCCAGGAATCTCATTGATATGCATTCTAGGGTCCCTTAAGCATCTTTCAAGGAAGTTTGGAGCAATTTCATTTTTTGACCAAAATTGAAAAACTTACAAGGGGTTGCATTTTTGATCAAATTTGGCCAAAAAATTACTTTTCTTCAAACTTCCCAGAAATGCCTCTTGATGTAAGGGGAGTATCATTCACTATTGAGACAGCTAAAATTTCAAAGATTAGGGCAAAAATAATCATTGTTTTAAAGAAAAAATTAATAATTTTGACTGATTTTTCCCCAAAATATTGACGCATTATTACTTTTCAAAAGCAATTTTCTCCAGAAATCCAGTTGGGATGCGTTCTAGGGTCCCTAAAGCACCTTTCCAGGAAGATTGGAGCAATTTCATTTTTTGACCAAATTTGAAAAAATTACAAGGGGTTAGCCTTGCATTTTTGATCAAATTTGGCCAAAAAATGACTTTTCTTCAAACTTCGCAGAAATGCCTCTTGATGTAAGGGGAATATCATTCACTATCGAGACGGCTAAAATTTCGAAGATTAGGGCAAAAATAATCATTTTCTGAAGAAAACATTAATAATTTTGACTGATTTTTCCCCGAAATATTGACGCATTATTTAGTACTTTTCAAATGCAATTTTCTCCAGAAATCCAGTTGGAATGCGTTCTAGGGTTCCTTAAGCATCTTTCCAGGAAGTTTGGAGCAATTTCATTTTTTGACCAAAATTGAAAAAAATTACAAGGGGTTAGCCTTCCATTTTTGATCAAATTTGGCCAAAAAATGACTTTCCTTCAAAGTTCGCAGAAATGTCTCTTGATGTAAGGGGAGTATCATTCACTATTGAGACAGCTAACATTTCGAAGATTAGGGCAAAATTAATCATTTTTTGAAGAAAAAAATGTATAATTTTGACTGATTTTTCCCAAAATATTGACGCATTATTATTTTTCAAAGGCAATTTTTCCAGAAATCCAGTTGGGATGCATTCTAGGGTTCCTTAAGCATCTTTCCAGGAAGTTTAGAGCAATTTAATTTTTTGACGAAAATTGAAAAAATTACAAGGGGTTAGTCTCACTTTTTGTTGATCCAAATTAACCTTTTAATAATTACTGTTCATATATTGGGAAAATGTAATTCACATCTACATTGTATACGTATTGCACATATAATTGAGAACAATTTACAATCACAGGCACATGTACATAAAGTATACACAGCTTTCATTTCAGCATTTATATACAATACTGGGTATAATTATAAGTGTGCAGCTACGTCCATTTTGTGAAATCTGGATTTCAGTACGAGTTTACGGCTTAATGATGTCCTTGACTTTTAAACTGATGTCTTAGTGACTTTCAGCTGTATGTACATTAAACTTTAAATGAGAAGTATAAGTTATAGCCACTCTTTTGCAATCTTTTGAGGCTTCAGAACAGTGCTGAAGCTATTGCAAGAGCCACAGCCAAAGCCATGATTTCATAAATGTCTTAACTCGACAGTGCGGTTTACATGAAATCTTGAGATTGAATTTTAAGCCATGGTCTCTTTTTGCAGCCATTCAAGGCTTTCCAGTGCTGAATCTATTGCAAGAGCCACAGCCAAAACTAAAGCCAAGCTTTCATAAATGAACCACAACTATTAACCCTCCTATTCAAACATGCATTCTGTGCCAAATTGTCCTTTCAGTCAAAATCAATCAAGTTACTGTTATCAACAGTTAAGAGCTCCCAGCCTACTTAAAGCAGGATTGACTGGCTGTGACCGTTTATGTAACTTGATACACCTGTGCTTTGACTGTAGGTGATTGATAAGTCCGCTGTGCCACCAGTTGCATGCTTTGTCTGTTGACTCCATTTGACCAGTCAGAGTGCTTGCTCAAAATATGATCCGACTGTTTGTGACTAGTCTGTGTAAAAGGCTTGGCAGGGGAAGTGGATTGAACTTTCGACTGTCTGTGACTGTTAAAACAGCAGGAGGGTTAAAACAGTCTTAGACTGGTGACTGGGATGAGCGTCTATATTACAGCACTGCCGAGCCACCTGGGAACCAGACCAAAGTTACTGATGTTATGAACAGTTCACTGAACGGCTACATCTAAAACGGTGATATCGGACTCGGGTAGGACTCGAACCTGGGTCGCCAGGCTTCGGTAGTACACCTGACCGGCTGCGAAGGGCACCAGGGAAGCAGGACTAGTCTTTTCAGTGGCTGCCGGGATGTGGGACACCGGCTCAGTCAGACCGTTCATGCTCGACGCAGCGGGGCCGTCTAGCTCACTGGAAGCGGTGGTGCCGTCAGGGATTATACTGCCCTCGCTTGGTTGATTCAGGACAACTTGTGTGACGGGTTGGGTTCCTAAAAGTAACAAGAGTTTGCAACTGTTTGAAAAATTTGTCAAGTATTTAATGTATTTTGTTTGCTTTTTTTTGGATAGTAACAATTTGGTACTTACAGTTTTATGGGTGAGTTAGTTTTTGGTCATTTTTTGGGGACCGACCGACCAAAACCCGAGTGACTTGTAGATGCTCTGTTGCCAGAGCTTAAAAATAAGTCATGCATACTTCGCGCTTTATGTACACAGTACGCACATGTAGTATATCTCATCCATGGGCCTCTTGAAACTGGTAAGAAAGCGCCCTCTCTAGTTCATGCATGGAGCCCATTAAACAAAAGGTGATCTGAAAATTAAAAGTTTGCTTTCTCTTGAAGTAGAAATGACATACCTGATAATTCTTGGGTTCCTGTTATGTAGTTGGTGAGTTTGACCTTTGGCACGGGCAGGAAACCAGCCAATAAGGGCATGACCTCCAGCGACACATCCACGCCCTCCTGGCTGGTCGGCATGGCAACGACCCCGGTGCTCCGCCCACAGACGGCCCACATGTGCTTGTCAGCCAGCACCTGGTACATGAGTGACGGGCTGTTCTGGTCTGTGATTGGCTGGTGGTCGTCGAGGGCCGACTGGATGTGGAGCTGAAGGCTGCAGAGGGTCCCTGCGCGACAGAACTCATCACTAGAGGGCGGTGCGATTGTCGAGCTCACCATGTACTTCGTCTAGGAAAGAACAGAGAGTCTCGTTGAAGAAGCGTTGAAGAAGGGTTTAAAACGAAAGCTGGAAAAAATTGTACGTTTAATGAGATAATCTGCTCAAGTCTATCATGACAGTCTATTATGTGACCTCTAATAAAAATACTTCGTTATCAATCTTTAACATTTTTCCCTCCTTTTCTTGATGTTCCGAGGAATGCCACAAACCCACTTGTTTTGCATTGCATACGGCAAGCTAGCAGTTGTGCGTGTATTGCCACTGCATTGCCAACGCATTTTTGTGTGACATTCACGTGCCTATCCATGACGCAACGTGGGATGAGGCAAAGGGTCTAGCAAGTTCTTGCAAATCTAACCTCTCAAATGTCTCCAACTCACCTTGTAGTCCTTCAGGTTGAAACTGTGGCTAAGTTGCTGTGGCTCCCCCTGCCCATTTGTCACAGTGTTCCCCTCCCCGTTTGGCACGGTGTCCCCCTCCCCTAGTGCAGTATACGTCAGGGTGAATCGGAACTCCGCCTCGTCTGTCTGCTGCTGCGAGTCGCTGAGAAACCAGACGTATGACATAGTCTGGCCGGCGCACAGCGTCTGAGGCAAAAACCATAACCAAGCCAATTTCCAAAGTGGTTGATTTGACAACTTGTAATATTGTATCCTCTCTGAGTGATCATACTTTGCTATTTCCCAGTTTTGCAGCATTGCTAATGTTGCTAGCATTATGACTTTGGGCGTGATCCCTGGCTACATGGCATACGGGTTTATGGCTTCTGACTAGCGCCCCTTGAATGAAGTCATTGACAAAATGGGAGAGTGTTCAGACATCATGGAAGGAATAGGCAAATATTTGACGATTTGTGGAAGTGGCAGAGATCGTTTTTTTTCCGTGTAGTTCATGTACTTACAGCAGTGGCATTCTTGCCGTTAACACTCTGCAACTGCACTGGACCATCTGATGTAAGCTCAGGCGACGTTAGCATGAACTGCATGCTGCAAATGTTATCCACCGACAGCTGTACAAGCTTTCTGCACACAAAAACCACAATGAAGATTACATTAGGATTGTGTATAGGCTTATTTACATTTTTTTCCCAACATTTTAAAGAAAAAATTACATTTTTTATACACACAATATTTCCTTAGAATGGCACATATGTCTCGAAATCGGGTTGGAATGTGGTTTGGTGCCCCTTAGACAGCTCCCCAGCAAGTTTAAAACATTTTCATTTTTTTTGGCCAAAACTGAAAAACAAAATGCAAGGGGAAAGGAAATCAGCATTACTGGTCCAAGTTGGATGCTAAAAATAGAACTAAAGATGACCTCTGACCTCTTGCCAGCTGTATGGAGCTGATGCTTGATGTGGAACGGCTGCTGGAACGTCAGCGTGGCTATAACCGTCTCTGACCACGGACACCAGATGGTCATCTGCGAAGGCAAAATGTGACATTTCTGATCACATTTGGGAAAAGCCTTTCAGTTTTATATCCTTCTCATCACAAGTCAACATGTCAAATCACATGTCAATCACATGTCAAATCACATGTCAAGTACATGTACATGTCAAATCACATGTCAAGTACATGTCAAATCCTGTCAACTACATCTGCATGTCAAATATATCACTTGTCAAGTACATGTCAACTACATGTCAAATCACATGTCAACTAAATGTCAAATCACTTGCCAAGTACATGTCAAATCACATAGGTAAGGTAAGTATCATGTTATTGGCAACCATTAAAGGGTTTGATTCGTTATCAATTATCAAAAAGTGACAAAATACATCATATAAACTTGTAAACAACAATTATCACATGTCAAATTAATTATCACATGTCAACTACATGTCAACCACATGTCAAATCAGGTGACTAGGGGAGCAAACACTGAAAAAGAGCATGCCTTTGTCGAACGTCGTTTTGACTTGACTTGAAACAAGACGACTTTTGATGACTTGCTACTCTGTCAGTCTGAAGGTTTTTATCCCAATCTTTCTATTGGTATCGTAACTAGATAGAATTAAATTAATTAAGAATAAAATGGATCCTTCTACTGGTCTGTTCTCTCCATCTTCACCTTTTGTTCCGTTAGCTCCTCCTCCTCTTCCTCGCCAGGCTCCGCCCCTGAATCCACAAGCAACGTCATGACCATCACGCTGAACTCTCTAGTCTGGAAGGCAGGGATATCCGGCAGGCTGACCGTAGCGCCGCTCTCCTCTGTTCTCACGCCGTATCCATCCGCCTCGTCGGCAGGTAGGGCCCGGAGCCGGCCCAGGGTTTGGATAGACAGGGTGTCCTGTGACGTAACGGTGTAGTAACCAGCGAAGATTGTCAGGTAGATCTCTTGAGGGATACCAGCTAGAAGAACAGAACCTACGAAAAAACCAAAAGAAATAAAGATGCTTAGAATGTGATTCAGAGCTCTCAGTAACATATAGGGTGGTGCAAAAAGAAGGAAACCCACTTTGGACAGGAATTTTAACCTACTGACTTAACGTATTTGAATTTTTTTTTTTTTAAATGTAGCGAAGTATAGCTCTTCAACCATATGTGGTGAAAAAACATTTTCAAACAAATCGAAAGAATAGTGTTACTTTGCTAATTTGAATACAAGTCACCAAAATCACTGTTGTCCATGTGTAAGTCTAGCGCAGTATTTTTGTCTTCAAATCAAGCTCCGGAGCTCAGTCAAGCGGATGGAATAAAGCCGTCCGTGGACAAACAGTTTGGCATATGAAATTTTTAAACTATCATATCTCAGAGACAAACTATGCAATCAGTTTTTCGTCACTTATGTTTAAAGATCAATATTTTGATACCATTAAATTGAATTTTTGAAATATGCTCAACAAGCAGGTGAAAATTGCTGTCAAAAGTGGGTTTCCTTCTTTTTGCACCACCTGTACATGTACACTCTTACAGACACCGTGACAGACAGACAGACCGACACCAAGACAAAAAGACAGAGTCTCGAAGAATGGAATCTACATGTACAAGGATCAAAAGAAATAACGATGCTTAAAATGTGACCCAGAACTCTCAGTGTCATACACCCACCCAAACACCCTGACAGACAGACACCAGGACAAATAGACCCACAGAGTCTCGACTGATGTATTTACCATTCTTAGGAGTTACAGTCAGTTGTGGGTCTGGACTAGACACCTCCATGCCGATAGTCGGCTGAATGCTGGGCAGCAATAACTCCACTCCCCCTAACTGCATCATCAACTGTTTACAAGAGTACAGGCCGTTATCCGATGCCTGTGACAAAAACCAAAACAGTTCTTTTGATCACATTCTGATAAGTATTCATAGCTGGAAAAAAATCATAATCATGTATCACAAATCTCTAGAATTAAAAGGATTAATCAAATATTAGGCACGAGAATGGGCAAAAAAGATCAAACTGATCACGTTCTTAAAAGTATTTGTGGCTTGAAAATGAAAAAAAGTAATAGTACCAAAAATCTCAGGAATAAAAACTGATTCAACATGTACAGTGTTGTAGCCAAGTTGTGTAGCATGAGTACGAGTACTTTGTCGTGAGTACGAGTACAAGGTAATTTTTTCCACAAGCACAGGTACCAAAAATATACTCAAATTCGAGTACAAGCACTTTTCACAAATAGGAGCAAATTCCAATATGTCACGTATTCTCATTGGTTTTTTTTGCTGTCAAATCAGGCATTAAAGAAAAGCAGAAGCCTCCCAGGAAGTAGAAAACTGGTTCTTTTCCTGCATGTAGCTCTTAAAAAAAATCAATTCTTGCAGGAGAACATTTGCAAAAGTAGGAGTACGAGTACATTTTCATGAGTACAACTACGAGTACTAAAATATGTACTCTACTATGAGTACTTCAATATAGCTAACCATTTTATAAGCATTCTCACCTTGAATGCAAACGATAATGTGTTATCTCCTGGTTTGATCTCCACATGCTCCAAGTGCAACGGGTGACTGCAATCTTCCTTCTGAAGGACCTCAAAACTTTTCCCCAGAGACGAGGAGCTGTCCTCTCTTCTCAACACAGACGAGGCGTTCTTGCAGTAGATGATGGCACAGTCCAAGTTCCGCTTGCCGTCCTTGGTCTGGTACCTGATGTCCTGCATCAATTCCGGTATCATGGTCTGCTGGTTGCCCAGGAAGATAGAACGCAGGTACCCGTCTGTCACCGTCCCCCATTGGTCGACCGTTGGTGAGAGACTCTTGAAGCTGCTCTGTGATTGGCTCTTTGGGAGCGGGAGCTGATTCGATTGGTCCTCAGCATCCTGCGTCTCGTGGTTGACCGCCAGGGTGATTTTGTCCACTGCGACGGTTTCTGGGAGGTTGCTATGGATACGCAAGAAGATTTCACCTCCTTCGTTCTTTCCTAGTTTCCCGTCTTCCGGTTTCAGGTCGATACTTGTAAGACGAGCCACCGAATAGAGCGGGACCAGTGCTACTTTCACTAGAAACAAGAAAAGCGTGTTCCAAAATATAGTGCAATTACTGAAACTGACCGAAACAAGACACGGAAAGCCTAGTAACCTGGCCCCACAACGCATAAAATTCTATTCAATACGGGGGATTCCTGATTAATGTTGTGCAAACCCGACACCAAACCGAAACCGACCCGACCCGAAACCGACTTCGAGACAGGTCAGGTAGGTTTGTCCATCATTTTAGTCGGGTTGGGACGGTTTTGGTTTTGCGTCGGGTCGGGTTGGTTAAGCCATTTTGAAAAAACCCGAAAGGAACTGAAACAGAATGGAAATTCACATGGTGCACTATTTAGTGAAGAGTCACTGCGCGCAGTGCGAATAAAAATGGTTTGCGGCCCGCATTGAGCGGTCTATAACATGTAGGCCCAGTAGGTCACGTTGTGAGTGCCGCATGGCATGATTCAGTTACTAGAAAGCCGACATCTATGTACATAATAAACCCAAGTTAGCCTATAATTTTACAATACGGGTAATCCTATACAATAGCACTGCCGGCTCAGAAGTGACACTTGGTCATATCAGTGGTCACTGGGACTAGAAAAAAAAATTAAAACTAAAGAAAAATTGAATTTCTTTTTTACTTCTTTGTTGAAAAGTTTCCATCCAAGAGTGTCTATTTTATAAAAAAAACCAAAATTATCAGGGCCTAATTTCACAGAAATGATAAGCAGAAAAATACTGCTAAGTAAGATTAATGTTCTAAGCATCAAAATAGTGGGAACCAGTCGCAAGCAGTGCACATCCCATTATGTTTGGCTGGTAACCCGTTTTCAGTTTGATTCTTGATATTGGCTTTCGGAACTTTGATTTTGGTTCCTCACGTGATTGCTCCTCGTCGTCTGGTTCCCCGCGTTCCTCAGCCAGTTCCTTGGCTATTTTCAGCATCTCCTGAAGGAACTCCAGCCTCTCCTGCATGGCTAATGCACAGTCGCCAGCCAGGAGGCAGCAGGTCTTGAGATATGTGCACGAACCATCCAGTTAAGGTCTAATCGGTGTTAGCACAACCGAGCGAGGGCGCTACTTTATGAATTTCATGGATTCTTAGAGGTTTCAAAGCTTTGGTTTCGTATCAGCTTCACCTACATCGCTGACTCCAGAATCATTGTTAATAATAAGTACCTTTACATATATGATAATTGTATGATAAAAAAGTAAGCAGTCTTGAATTTGAATATTCATGATGCATAATTTAATAGAGTGTTCAGTTCTGGGTTTGAATATTCATGAGAAACAAAGGAGTTAAGTGTCAGATTTTGTAAAGGATATTTATGCTTGTTGCCCAGTTCCTTTTGGCATGTTGCAATCTGTCTTCGAGTGTTAGTGACAGGCAGATGCCAGCCCTCCTTCTCATAGATGCGGACCGCGTCAATCAGGAACGTCTCCGCTTTCGTCCATTCTCCCTTTTTCCTTAAATAAATGGGAAAGAAATTGCCAAATTCATACAATTGTACATAAGATGGAATTTGCGTCGGGATGATGTAAACTATTACATTTCGCCCTTCACTGAAGTATAAACACTGTATACTCAGGGTCTTTTTTCCAACTTTCACTCGGTAGGTAACACACTGAGTATACAGTGTTTAAACGTCGATGAAGGGCAAAATCTAATATTGATTTACATCACCCGGACGCAAATTCATCTTATGAATAGTTAAATTGCGGTACCCGCTGCTATGTACGTCAGATTCGAACCAGCCATCTGATCCTGCAAGCTCGGTGGTCGAGTGGTAAGACATCTGCACTAGAAAGCAGGAGGTCGTGGGTTCGAGTCCCACCCGAGTGATTTTTTCCAACTTTCAATCAGGGAGGTAACACATTGAGTAAACAGTGTTTATACGTCGGTGAAGGGCAAAACCTAATATTGACGTACAATTGTAAAAGTATCCAAATAGTGATATGTATCAAATTACTATGTTTGTGCATTTTGAGAATATTACAATGAAGGCATTGTTGAAACAACTGACAAAACTATTGAAAGGAAAATTAAAAGGCAAATGACACTCACATGTAAAAAGTGGCAAGGTCCTTTCCAATGAGCCGGGCTGATCTCATGCGCTTGATATGCTTAAAAGTTCCCATGGCCAACTCAGAAAGTTCCTTTGAGCGTAAAATGAAAGTGTAAAAATTACGATAAAGTACACACAGAGTATTAGAATCATTTGCTTTTCGTGCATTTTGTTCGTTTCCAATAATAACACCACTCAAAATCCAAAGAAGAATGTTCAAACCCTAACCTGAGGAAGTTTCAGCTCAGTGGATATTAAACTTTAAAAAAAAACTACGAAAATAATGAACAACTTTTTGATCATGAAACACAATTTCATTGATATCGCTCTTTATTTCCAAAGATGAGTCAATTGACTGATCAATTGAAAATCACCTACATTTCTTGATTTCTTCTAAATGACAGCAAGCCAGACGGAATCATTTCACGGGGTGTTTAGTACCAGTGCAATCTTTAAACCAAGTCAGCTTTTCGATAATAATTTGATTGTGATTTTGGGATAAATGCAAATGATCCTATCTGCCTGTAGTACTCCCTGTAAGCACATATTCTGTAGTTACAGGAAGAATGCGTGAACATTAAGCACTGAATTTTCGGCGACAGTAATTGGGAGTTTTGCCAACAGTAAGCAAAGCCATGCAATTGGGCACTAGTCTCAAGATGTTTTGAGACTTTGGTGAACATTTTTCAGCCAGTGCTTATCAAGACGTTTTGCGCATCACTACTTACCAAGTAGTGTTTCTGGAATGAGTCCGACGAGCTCAGAGCCTCCCTGAGTTTCTGATTGGGGCTGTTCTCGATCACGCTGGCTTCTTGAGTCTGGCCCATGCCCGAGAGGAGATTTACAACAAGGTGCAGCTGGTCCGAGTTGGAGGTGGAGTCCGGCATCAGACCACACAGCTCCCCTAGTTCACGTAACTGCAACGAGGGTTAAAACGACATTGACCATCAATACCTGTACTACAATGTATTACATTCTATGTACTCATTGATGAATTTATAAAAGCATGCATTGCTGGGCGGTTTTGAGCGATGCAATGAGTATAGGAAGGGCGGTTTAGGGCGGTTTGGGGCAGTACAGGGACAAATAGGTTAACCTTCAATTTGGGCGATTCACAATGCAGCGTGCCATGAAGTCGGTACCCATTTATACTCCTGGGTGGAGAGAGACAAGTAGAGGTGAAGTGGCTTGCCCAAGGACACAACATAGGTCCAGCAGCTAGATTTGCACCCCTGACTCTCTGATCATGAGTCACGAACCCTAACCAATAGGCCAGTTATAATTGAGACACAGGGTAGATTCCCATACCTTAGTCTGAGCGTACACCCACAGGCTGGCTGTGAAGTGGGAATAATTCTCAACGTTGGACGAGTCCGTGTACTTCTCACAGGACTGCAACACTTCCAGGCAACTCAGAAAGACCCAGCATGCCATGCTCCCTGTCGGCATGGAAACCTGTGGAGAAGAAAAAATAGGAGACTGACTGTTGCAACATACAGGGTGAGTAAAAAAAAAAACGAAACCCAATGTTTGGAATGTTGTTTTAGTGATGTTCTGCATACTTTAGCACTTTCAAAAAAAAGGATATGGAAGCCCAATTCATAAACTTTCTTTTAGTACAAGAACATTCAAATCACTCGTGCACTTTTCAAGTTACGGAATTTTTAAACACAAACACCATTTTAAAGTTCTATCCACTGCAACTTTGAAAATAAAATTGGAAAAAAAAATATTTAGAGGCTTTGGTCAAAACCTTACCTCTAACATTTTCAATTCCTGTACACAGTTGTGCAGATATGACTGGGCTCTGTGCGCCACTTCCCATGGCCTCTGCATGGTGAACAGCAGCACGCACTGACGGGCAAAGAGGTAGTTACGCAGTTCCAGAAGCGCGACGTTACCGGTCTCAAGAAGCGATCGCTTGCCGTCAATAACACTGGGGAGGAGGTTGAGGCCGTCCCAGCAGGTGCATGGGGCGACGAAGGAGGACAGCCAGGCAGGATTGTCTGTGGGAAGGAGGTTGAAGAATTTTTTTATTGGGATCTTCTTTCTTTCTTGAGCTCTGAAATTTTGGAAGGCGGGTTACCCTTAGAATACTGCTTGTACAATTTTGTGACATATTTTCTGTTTAAAAAAAATTCTAGGCAGTTTGTTGAAGAAAAGATATTGAAAGTTTAAAATATAGCCCTAACCCTTTAAGTATTTTGGCTAGAAACCCTGCTCAACGCTGCGATGTGCAACACTTGTCAAAATGACAAGCCTGCTCGGTGCAGCAAGATCCATCAGGCCAAAATCTCAAGGCCAAACTGCCTCAGAGTCTGTGGTCACCAACTGCAGCAGGATACAACTGTGGCATTGTTCACAGAGTACAGCAATAAATAAGTCTGTAAATAAGTGGGATGCCAATAAATAAGTGGGGTGCTGTGGTCCAATGGTTACGGTGTTGGACTCGTGTGCCATGGTACATGGGTTCGAATCCTGACCGTGGTAACAGGGTGCTTGTGCTCTTGAGCAAGGCACTTTACCATTAATTATTGCTTCGTCCTTCGGTTGGGGCGTAAAGCCGTAGGTCCCGTGTGCTGTGTAATGCACGTAAAAGAACCCAGTAACACTTGTCGCTAAGAGAAGGGGTTTGCCCCTGTGTTTCTGGCAGTGGCTGCAATATTCGCCACAGCACCTTGTAAACCCTTATAAAGGTGCTACATATAATGGGTCTCATATTTCTCATAAACTGCATTTACCTGTCTTTAATAATAGACATAATTTCCAGCGCCTTGAGTACCTAATTGTCTATACATGCGCTATACAAGAATCTGGTATTATTATTAATACTGATAACTGTCAATGATCTTTATTATCTCCGATGCTGTTTTTTAAATGGTACATACCTCCGGCGTGTGTGTTGATGATAAACTGTGAGAACAGGGCATCTAACTCATCATACTGAACCAGGGCATCCTCCTCAAAATGGAAAAGCTGAAAGGTGAATGCTAGCTCCTCCTACGGGACAAAGAAATGAATATTCATAAGGGCAGAAAAGCAACTGCAAGCTCCTCTTCAAGCTGAAAGACGTAAATATTCATAAGGAAGGTTGGAAGGTTACATGTAAATGCGAACTCAACCAACAGCAGAATGCAGAGATGCCAACTTCGAAAATCGTTCCTGCCATTTGGGTTTCGTTTTTTTTTTACTCACCCTGTATTCTTGCTGCAAGTTCACGCATGTTGAACACATTGTGACTCTGTTAAATTTGACTATTTTGTGACATCAAATTCAGCCTTTACATTGATATTCAGGGCCTTTTTACCTGGAGAAGGAAATACTTGCAAAAGTCCCACCCCCTGTCGTTCCGTCGTTCCCTCTCGGCACGGACGATCTCCTCAAAGCGCAACAAGACGCGACTGTAGGCCGCCAGGAGCAGTTCCCGCAGACGCTGGATGAAGAGTTGCCAGGACTCTAACGAGCGATTGGTGGGTACGGGATTATTGGGCTCATTGAGAACGATCACTCTTCTGCAGCGACAGAAAAATATTCAAAATGATGTATAAATCAATACTTGATTTTGCCCTTCATTGATGTATAAACACTTTGGAAAAGAGGATTTTGAAGGATTCAGGGCGGTTAGGGTTAATTAAAGCCTCAAGCTTTCCATTCAAACTATGATTATAAGCAAGTTACAAGCTTGTTAGATAGCCACCAACCTTTCTTGCTTGCTGCAGAAGTCACTTCTGATTTTGTCCAACACCGACGTTCGCGGCAGGAGTTTGGACTTGTTCCCTCGCTTCAGATTGGCCGTTTCCACGAGAACGATCAGCCATTCCGACACGTTGCGCTCCTTCAAGCTCTGTTGCCAGGCGGTGATGTCGTCCTTGACAACCAGCTTGTAGGCATCGGCATCCTGACAGTGGGATCAGTTCAGATGATTAAGTAATTGCAAGGAATAAAGTCTGTATCTTAGGGAACTTCTCAAAAGTCAGAACGCCTGGTATATGTACGTTCCACTGGGAAACTTTATACAAATATAAGACGGTTTGAGGGTGGACAATCAGGGTTCGCTACCCGAGGTATTGGAAGTTGACAAACTACAAGTAGTTGTCAAGGCAAAGCCGAGGGAAATTGTTTGTGAACATTAATACAAGGGGAGCTAATATCGACTGTCCACCTGAAATAAACCATGTTATATTTGTTTTACTATATGTCATACATATTCAGTTTCCAATTTTTTTTCGTTGCAGTATGCACGTAAATCTTCTGAGAAGTTTGTCCAGCTCACCAGAAAAATATTATAGCTCAGCCTCACTAGTTCAGTTCTTTTTATGCATCTGATCTTCACAATGGGCCAGATTTAGCCCACTCACAAGTGCCCTTTGATCAGTCAGTCGATGAATCAGTCAGTGCGATACATTTAAGTACAAAGATGACACTAGGTTTTGCCGATGAACAGCCATTTCTCTGTGTCTGTCTAAACTGCGTTTGTACTCACTGCACAGTCCGTGAAGTAGATGTGAAAGCAGGGCTTTCTGAAGAGGGTGCGCTCGTTTTCTTTGGCCAACTGATCGGGGGTGAAGGGAACAAAGGTGACATCCATGAAGATCAACTTGGGCCCTCTGCCATAAGATCTGGGGGGGGGGGGGGAGAGGGGGAAAGATGTTTTTCAAGAGTTCAAAACACAAGCAAGTATGACTAATCAATACAAATGAGTCAACATCCACTTCTACAGGGTGGGTAAAAAAAAAACACAACCCAAATGGTAGGACAAATTTTTGAATGAAGTTTGCCTGTAGTACTTTCAAAATCTAGGATACGAAAGCCCAGTTATTAAGCTTTCTTTCAGTACAAGAATCATTCAAATCACTCATGTACTTTTCAAGTTATGAGCATTTTGGCATTTTGAGCACAAACGCCGTTTTAAAGTTCTGTTCACGGATCACAAAAAAAGGTAAGTGTTCTTTCAGCAAAACGAATACAATTCTCATAGGGATGCATGTGAATTGTAAGTGAACACTTACCTTTTTTGTGATCCCTCGACAGAACTTTAAAACAGACTTTGCAGAAAGAAAAAAGAAAAAATGTCTGTGCCTTTCCACTTCTTTCCTTTTACGGCAAGCTGTACCTTACTAAGGAGAGAAACTGAATGAAATTGAAAATTTTAGAAACCCAAGGAAATTAAGAAAGAAAGCTTGGACACTAGAGATATTTTTAAGCCCATATGGACCATGATTAAATGTTTCCTGTTCACCTGCGCCATTCTACTGGGTCCCTGGGTAGAGTGTTAAAAACCTCCGCTCGGATTGAAGAGAAAAGCTCCTGATCACCGTGATCTGAAGTGAACAAAATGTAATTGAATAAAATAGTTATTATTATAAACTTTAATAAAAAAAAAAGGCGCGTTCTTAACAATCAGCAATGAAATGGATGGCACAACTTGGCGCATTTGATAGGCGCCTAAAGAGGAGCCCTACACTACACGATCGCCCCTAAGTTCCAGAGCTCCACTCAGACTCAGTAACGTTAGAGCTAGGCTGCACCTAGGGATGCTCCAGCCCCATAAATGTGGCCAATTTACTGAACTACCTCTGTAAATAAAGGCCACACTCCCACCATGTACAAAAACATGTCAAACTTTGTCACATTTTGATTTTCACATTTAGGCTTAGTTTGTTGTTTATTTTTGCTTTAGAAGCAAACTAACCCTCTAGTCTTAGGGCTAATCAGAAAGTGCTGCTTTTTTCAGATGTCTAATTTTCTTGAAATTTCATGTTGAAATTTTGATACGCAAACGTATGCAAACGAATCTGGAAATTTCACGAAAATAACATCTGAAAAAGGCAGCACTTTCTGACTAGGAGTAGGACAATGTAGGGCGCCAGCGCCCATCTCTCACCATTTTCAAGCAACGTCTTAAAAGCTTCTTATTCTTTACATCATACAGTTGTCATACTTTCATAGTCCTCTCTACTCCTAGAACTATGAGGCTCCGCGTGAGTGGAGCCTCATAGATCAAGAAGCCCGCAAAATGGCCTGCAGCACAAAACACTAATAAAGTACAAAAACGTCCATCAAAATGCAGCCATTTCACACAGAACCGCTGCACAGTTTGCCCCTATACTCCGTACTTTATCTCTTGACATACTCACGTATCTTGTGCGGAACTAACATAGGTGGATTCTGTCGGTTTTTAGGCCAAAATGATGAAAAATATGCCCTTTCCGCATTGAGCCAACCTGACACAGTGAAACGTGCACGCATTATGATCGAGCGATGATTTTCGGTTCGCTCGGAGCGCGCCGCGGGGGGTACGGTACATGCACTTGTACGCATGCACATCATTTCGCTTGTACCGTACCCCCCGCGGCGCGCTCCGAGCGAACCGAAAATCATCGCTCGATCATATGCGTGCACGTTTCAAGTGTCAGGTTGGCTCAGTGCGGAAAGGGCATATTTTTCATCATTTTGGCCTGAAAACCGACAGAATCCACCTATGTTAGTTCCGCACAAGATACGTGAGTATGTCAAGAGATAAAGTACGGAGTATAGGGGCAAACTGTGCAGTGGTTCTGTGTGAAATGGCTGCATTTTGATGGACGTTTTTGTACTTTATTAGTGTTTTGTGCTGCAGGCAATTTTGCGGGCTTCTTGATCTATGAGGCTCCGCTCACGCGGAGCCTCATAGTTCTAGGAGTAAGTCCTCTCTTGTACAGCACTTTGATTTATTTTGTAAAAGCGCTTTATAAATTCATTTATTATTATTTATTTGGTAATCCTTACTTTTAGGACCCCGTTCCTATATAGGAAGGGAAAGACTCACCAAAACAGTTGACTAAATGACACTCAAAATTGACATTCTGATACTTCTTGGCACATCTGAACAATTGGCAATGACACCTTCTTGACTTCTAAAGACTGCTTTAGCCTGCAAAAGTCACTTTGGTACTGGACAGACATCTGCAAAAGTCAGTTTTGAACAGAACTCGTAAAAAATAGAGGTGTCCTAAAAGTAAGGATTACCATTTATCAGTCCTTCATTTAAAGAAAATCCAGGAGAGCTATAAATCGCTCTCCTCAAATATTTGAGGAGAGCAAATCGCTCTCCTTAAAATCTACGGATAAACAGCGGTAAAACGACGGGTTACCATTGTTTTTGTTTTATTTTGAATATAACGATTTATTCAAGGGGCTGCATTATTATTAGTTTTTGCATAATAACATATGCTCAAGTTGCGTTACTTGAGTTGCGTTTTTTCGTTTTTGTAACTGTAAGACAAGGTAAAATTTATTTTAAAAAACTAACTAAATGGAGATTAATAAAAGGTTTGACTACTGCTTAGGCTTTCATTTTTTAATACAGTTGTCAGTTGGTTCATCACTTGATTATACTTTGAAAATGGAGAGTTAATAAACAGCACATAAAGCAACTGAATATTTGCTTTCAGATTCGTTAAAATTACATGACATTTTCAGCCAGAACTATTTCAATTGCTCCACGAAAGCTATACAAAAAGGGCCTCAAAATGACACAAACTTGCCTTAAGTTTTATCGAAAATATTTGCCGTCGATAATATTAAAAATAATGGAAAATGCAGGTCAAGTATGCCATATACACAATGCTAGTCACGACGAGAAACTGGCTAACAACGTCTGAACTTCGCACTAGTACGAGCGTTTGTGATGCACTGTGTGTGGTGGGCCGGCAATGAGACTCGTTTTACGGTATAGGATTTCGGTGAAACACGCTGCATCGTTTCACTTCACATACCAGTAAAACTTCCTCAAAATAAATTCATGAACACGGGAAATACATACACAGACAAGACAGATCAAGTTCTGTGAATAAGCTTGCAAAGATCGTCCTTCTCAATCGTTGTTTTCTTGGCATTCACGATGTCTATTCCAGTCCGGCCTGCACGCAAAACACTGTACGGCAGTGCATTGCACCGCCCGCGACTTTTACATTGACTGGTTACCGCATTTTCATCATGCCTTCATTGGGACTTAGTGCGCGGCGCAGCGGGAACCAGTCATTGCTGCACTCGCACGTACGGGCCCACGTGTTTTCATGCAGCTCTATGCGATTTGCAGATTGTGCACGCACAGTATACAACCGCTGTACACACACGATCTTATACAGTACGTACGAGCTCGGTGTTCGTTCATTTTTAGCGATGTCCAGCGGCATATTAACGTGAGTTTGGGCATTATACCAACGAAAAATACGAATGTCGGACACTTCGCCCCATTTCCACGTCGCCCCATGTCACTTCGCCCCTAACCACTTCGCCCCATCCCCACTTCGCCCCATCCCCACATCGCCCCATTCCCACTTCGCCCCATTCCCACTTCGCCCCATCCCCACTTCGCCCCATCCCCAATTCGCCCCATCCCCACTTCGCCCCAGCCGTTACATGTAAAAAGTTTTTAAAAAATCTCATCTATTTTATTGGCTTAAAAACAATTCCAACAGATACACTAATTGCTAACCAACGGAAAGAATTAGCCCACCAAATGAACAAGGCAAATTATGGAGGACACCAATGTACATGAGGCCACCAAAAAAGCAAAATAGTACCCCACCTTGTCTGTAATACAATCCAAGCTTGAAGAAGAAAAAAAAGCCCCCCCCCCAAAAACAAGCCGCGTGGCCGCGTCAATTCCGGAACTTTGGTCTGACCAGACACCGAATATTTTTTTTTTGGCCTAAAAGACCCGGCTATACCAACCCGTCTCCCACTTATCTGAGAACGACAATACCTTTGACATCCTAATTTCACTCTTGGAGGAACCAATCTACATTGTACATGGGGCGAAGTGGGGATGGGGCGAAGTGGGGATGGGGCGAAGCGGGGATGGGGCGATGTGGGGATGGGGCGAAGCGGGGATGGGGCGATGTGGGGATGGGGCGAAGTGGGGATGGGGCGAAGTGGTTAGGGGCGAAGTGACATGGGGCGACGTGGAAATGGGGCGAAGCGTCCGACACCCAAAAATACGTGTAGCTTAAGACTTAAAATCCTTGCGTTTTTATCACTTCTTATTTTTAAACTTCCCGTGTTTGACGAGCCCTCTTTTGGATTTCTGAGGAGCGCTATTTTTGGCGCTCCTTCGAGACAGTCGAGGAGCGCAGTAGGAGCGCCTGCGCGATCGCGCTCCTTAAAAATGAAGGACTGATTTATTTTTTATTATGAATATGATTCACCCTTTTCAATTTTCACGAAAATGATGCAGTACACAAAAAGCAATACAGTCTTACAGATCTGACAGTGACAGAGACAGATTGAGGCAGAAAGCAATAGCTGAAAAAATCTCACATGTAACGATTGGCTTCCTGTCACCATCTTCACTCCTTGCTGCCATTTCTCCGCTTCACAAGTTTCGCTCAATCATGAGTTATTTAAGTTGAAATATCGAGCTTAATTTGGAAACAATCTCCCCTTGGCCGCCTTCATCTCACAGATCGGGTCCTACTAAAGCGCGTCAACAAGGTCAACAAGCGTCAACAAGTTTTAGTAGTCGTTAAGTGCGCGTCAACAAATTTTGTATAGGCCTTTGAACAATAAAAACAGCTTTATATGGTAGAAAAAGCAATAATGAACATCTTCTGCATATCAATTAAAGTTAAAATTACTTAAAAAGTGGTTTTCCAGCGCGAAATCTACGACGGGTTTTTCGGTTTAGTATTGGCCGCCATCTTGTTTGAGATCTACATACTACGCATGCGTGGAGTGTACCATTCACGCATAGGGGTTTCTTTATACGATACGCTTTGCGATACCTCGTTTGGTGTTTTGCACATTAGGAAAACTATTTTTTTTTCAATTATAAATTATGCAAAACTTGGTCACGGTACTTGGCTAATTATTTGAAAAATATGCCGACTGACACTGTTCACAATGTCTGCCAAAAAATCCCAATGCAAAAACCAAACGAGGTTTCGCAATGCGTATAGTATAAAGAAACCCCTATGCGTGAATGGTACACTCCACGCATGCGTAGTATGTAGATCTCAAACAAGATGGCGGCCAATACTAAACCGAAAAACCCGTCGTAGATTTCGCGCTGGAAAACCACTTTTTAAGTAATTTTAACTTTAATTGATATGCAGAAGATGATCATTATTGCTTTTTCTACCATATAAAGCTGTTTTTATTGTTCAAAAGCCTATAAAAAATTTGTTGACGCGCACTTAACGACTACTAAAACTTGTTGACGCTTGTTGACGCTTGTTGACGCTTGTTGACGCGCTTTAGTAGGACCGCACAGATCAACCTCTTGCACCGAAAATTTTACGGTGGTCATGAAGGGCGCCCTCAAACATTTTTCCGAATGGGCAACGAATAACGATTCCCATTTCCGTATTCGACAGAAAATCGGAAAACGAATAACGATTCCCCCCTCCATATTCGACAGAAAATCGGAAAACGAATAACGATTCCCATTTCCTTATTCGACAGGAAATCGGAAAACGAATAACGATTCCCATTTCCAAATTCCATATTCGATAGCATAACGGAAAACGAATAACGATTCCCACTTCCCTATTCGACAGGAAATCGGAAAACGAATAGCGATTCCCAAATCCTCACGAAAACAAAAATGGGATTTGGGATTTCTCAATGCATGATGGGAAATATCGTGGTTTGCCAACTGGTATGTTACCGTTGAGGGGGTACTTGTGGATGTCCATTAAATCAAAGATAATGGGCGGGGCCAGTGGGCCACGTGTGTGTGTAAACAGAGTTACCAAGCTCTTGGTGGCGTCCTTTTCTCCATGTTTTCTCACACTCACTAGTAGTCACGACAAATTAAAATAGGACGCATTAACCAGCGAAATGAATCAATTTTTCAGGCCAATCAAATCGTTTTCGGTGAGTTGGTCAACTTGTCTTTATTTGTAGCTCATTTAAGTTTTATAATAATGAATGTGTCGTGATAGGTTCATTTGCTTGATGCTTTTATAGTTTATAAATTATAGCGTTGTCGAATTGTCTGGAAATATTTAACAATGTTTAAAATAATAAGAAAATTATATGTTGCCCTACTTTGGGGCAGAGCTTAGTAGGTGGGCTGGCATAAATTGTCAACATGGTTGGAGAGGTCGTGAATGTAATTTATTCTTCTGTGTTACTTACCCAACACAAGTTGAATGCGAGTGCACCGAAATAGATCCTTGTCGTTTTAGGTGGACTGACGATACACGTACAACGTAAATTGTAAGTCCTGAAATTATTTTTTCATTGAAAATTATATTTCTCATTAAAGGTGTTGCGTGCCTTGGCCTTAAGGAGAACGTACGGCACAGCATCAGGTCTGAATGTGAGTATTTATATCAACCTGGATTTAAAATTCAGAGAATATGGTGGAAGCTATTTTTAATAAAATCATGGTGTTCATAGGTTCAAACGGGCGGTTCAAACAACTCTCTAGTCAATTAATTTATTCAATTTCAAAATTCCTATGTCGCTTTTATTGCCAGGATGTCGTGATTGTGAGTGCCGTGCGTACACCCGTGGGTTCCTTCAGGGGGACCTTAGCCAGCTTGTCTGCTCCCCGATTAGGAACTGCAGCTATTCAGGCAGCAATCCAGAAAGCAGGTATTTTTCCCTTTTTTTATTCTTTCTTGTGAATTTTCAACAAGTTTAACCTCAACCCTAGCCTTCCTATAGATTATTCAGAACAGTTTTGTCCAGAGGGACGTTTTCATCTTTTGGACACCTTCTAAGACTCCCGAAAAAAAGAAAGTCTACAAAGACTGATAGTTTAATTAATTTGACAAGCAAAGTAATTGGACAGAAGTAGAACACAGACCCAGTACTGTACAATTACAGTGCATTTTACCAAATGCAATCTTTGTTCGTTTGTTTGTTTGTTTTTTAACAAATCTTTTGTGATGGTTGGTCTTGTTCCCAGGCATCCCCAATGAGGAAGTCAAGGAGGTTTACATGGGGAACGTACTGCAAGCGGGGGAAGGCCAGGCACCTACCAGGCAAGCAGCCCTAGGAGCTGGTAAGAATCTCATTTTGCTTCTTAACTCTTACAAAACTGAGCAAATTGGGGTGAAGTGGCTTGCTCAAGGACACAAATGTCCAGCAGGTGGATTAGAACCCTTGACCCTCTGATCATGAGCCAGGCGAGCAACCTTAAGAGCTGGTAAGAATCTCATTTTGCTTCTTAACTCTTACAAAACTGAGCAAATTGGGATAAAGTGGCTTGCCCAAGGACACAAATGTCCAGCAGGTGGATTAGAACCCCTGACCCTCCGATCGTGAGTCACGAACCCTAGCCACTCAGCCACACTACAAGGGTTACTTGATTTTCTTCAGCAACGAATAAAACAAATTTGGTTCATTATTTGATTCTGGTTAGGTCTTCCACTCAGTACGCCCTGCACCACCATCAACAAGGTCTGCGCGTCTGGAATGAAGGCTATCATGATGGCAGCACAGAGCCTCATGTGTGGACACCAGGTAATAAACTCAGCATCTCAAGAAAACATAGGAACATTAATGATGTCTTCAGAACATTGCATGTGGAATCATGGCTAGGTCCCCAGTGAGAACAGGCAGTGTTTACAGGGTCATGCCCAGGCGTGGGGGTAGGAGGGGGGAGGTGGGGGAGGGGAGGACCCCATTTGATGCTAGGGGCACCCTTTAAATTTTTTTCTGTATCACATCAGTACACAACAGCATCACTTTAATAATACATGTCATCTTCACTCCACTGATCAAATGGGGCGTCCATAAACAAGTTACAACTCGAGAAAGACCATTCTCACATGCACAGCAGAACACTTCAACAGCTAAAGGATTAAAATATACAAATTGGACTTGATTTGTTTTCTGTTTCTATTTTATCGTTACGCCAGGATGTCATGGTAGCTGGTGGTATGGAAAGCATGTCCAATGTACCCTTCCTGATGCCACGGACAGAGCCCACATATGGAGGTCAACGTATTGAGGTCAGTCGGTGGTCAAAGGTCATATGAATATTCAGGAAAGGATTTGTTTATTAAATGGAAAGTTTTTCTAAGTTCCTTCTCAGTGTCAGATTTTTGAAAGTTTCCAGCAATTTAACGCCAAGTTAATAGATTATGAAAGATGTCAAATCTTCTAGTTCATTCTTACATACTTTAATATTTACTAGTTTAAAAAAAATATGAAATTGTTCATTTGTGAGCCATAAGTTATCTGTGAAACAAAGAGTTCAAAATTGGAATGGAAAAATGTAAAAAAAAACTGGCCTTTTTGTTTCTGAATAGGATGCCATAGTGAAAGATGGACTGTGGGACGTGTACAACAAGATTCACATGGGCAACTGTGGGGAAGACACTGCCAAGAAGTTGGACATCTCAAAAGCAGAGCAAGATGAATATGCTATGGGCTCCTACAAGAAAAGCCAGGCCGCAGGGGCTGTGAGTATCTCTATGTCCGTCACCCTGTCTGTCACCCTGTCCATCACCCTGTCCGTCGCTCTGTGTCACTAAGTTGTGACTTCTGTCTAATTGGTGGTTCCATGGAGAGTGAGAGAACGGCCATTACATTTTACAATTTCCTCATAGATTCACTTTTACTTTTGTTTTCATTTGCAGTCTGGTGTTTTCCAGAAAGAGATCATCCCTGTTAACGTGCCACAAAAGAGGGGTAAGGTGCTATACCTTGGGAGAATATTTCATCTTAATAAAGGAATTCATGTGTTATAGCTAAACAAAAATGTAAATAATATGCTGTCAGTGCTTTTTAAGTTTCAGCCAGAAAATAAGTTTGTTTTTATGTTGCTATTTATAGTAAGACAAAGGTTATTCAGTTTTGAATGAGATATCAATCAAAACAACATTGGCTCACATTTTGTAATAATTCACTGTACAGATTTTGAATTATTAGCAGCTTATCAATATACTGCAGTTATCGCTGGATAGACTGGTTTCCAGCCCCCTATCATAATGTATAACGTAGAGGCCTGAACCTAGTTTACTCACAGAGGGTTGCAAATGCTCAAAATACAAAACAAAAAATCTTAAAATTAAACAAACAAGCTGAAAAATTCATTGGCTGAAAAATTCATTGGGAGCAACCATTGGAATTTGCTGAAGAATTAAAATCTTTTAAGCAGTCTTCAAGCCAATATTGGCATCTTTTGGGAGTGTAGTAGACCAAGTTTGAAGGGCTTAACCGATATATTTGTTTGTTGCTGTTTCAGGAAAGCCAGATGTTGTGGTGTCAGAGGACGAGGAGTGCAGCAGAGTCAACTTTGACAAGTTCACCTCCCTCAAAGCAGTCTTTGAAAAGGACGGTGAGACCCACAAGCGTTCTTTGCTGATAAATGTCAAGTTACTGGTCCAAGATAGACAGTTTCAGTGATTATGTTATAATTAAAAATCTGGCTTATTATCCCTTTGGCTTTCAAGCCAGACAGGGGGATATTGCAATCGCGTATTCCTGCGTGTATCCGTGTGTGTGTTCCATTTTGGTTAGGTTCACCGTAAGTTCGGTCATCAATCTCAACCAAACTTGATATGTGGTATTGCTCATGGTATCTGGTAAAGTGTTTAGACTCAGGCAACAGGTCATGACAGGCCAGGCCCTGGTCCTAGGTAGCCCATGAGATATGTCAATTTGTTTCTCTAGTGTCGTGAAAGTTATTGTTTGTAAGTGTAAGTTCAGTCATCAACCTCAACCAAACTTGATATGTGGTCTGTGGAGAGAAGGCCGACGTCAAACAAATCCTTTCCAATATAGATATTTACGAGTTCTCTGGAGAGCTCAGCTCCTGTAGTATTACTAATGACTCTAACATATATCAGTAGTAGGTCTACTAATGACTCTACATGCTGCAGTGGCAAGGGGACGCACCAAGACTCACTGACATTAGCCTGCACGGTTGGCTGGTTCGAATAAGATAAAGTGTATACATGTATATATACGTCAGTGAGGGGCAAAACCCCAACTTTTTTTTTTTCCTGATGTCATAGGTACGATAACAGCAGCCAATGCCAGCACACTGAATGACGGCGCAGCAGCGATGGTCCTCATGACATCACAGGCTGCAGAGAGACTCGGCGTCAAGCCACTCGCTAGAATCCTGGGTAAGAAAGAAGAAGACATTTTACCTTATAAAAGAATCTCCTTTTTGTAGAGCGGCCATAAACCAAGACCTGACGTCATAATCGTGTTGTGTATCAGACATTGCATCATATCATGTGTATATGACATTGCGTCATATCATGTGCATATGACATTGCGTCATATCATGTGTATATGACATTGCGCCATATCATGTGTATATGACATTGCACCATATCATGTGTATATGACATTGCGTCATATCATGTGTATATGACATTGCGTCATGTCATGTGTATGTGACATTTCATATAAAATATGCGCGAGTACTTCGATTTATCAACTTTTGATTTTGTTTTCTCCGGCCACAGGTTTTGCTGATGCAGCTGTTGCTCCTATAGAGTTTCCGCTCGCGCCCGCCTATGCCATGCCCAAGGTCAGCCAAGGTCATTTTGTTGGTCTCTCTCAGAGATGTATGACTCGTGACTCGGATTCAAGTTAAATTTTTGGTGACTCGGACTCGGGTCGTATTTGACAATGACTCTGACTCGTCTCTGAGCGTCTTGCAGTTTTGTAGTCAAGTCCATCACAAGTCCATCACAAGGCCATCACATGACCATCACAAGGCCATCACAAGTCCACCACAAGTCCATCACAAGTCCATCACGAGTCCATCACAAGTCCATCACAAGTCCATCACAAGTCCATCACAAGTCCATTACAAGTCCATCACAAGTCCACCACATGTCCACCACAAGTCCATCACAAGTCCATCACAAATCCATCACAAGTCCATCACAAGCCCATCACAAAGCCATCACAAGTCCATCACAAGTCCATCACAAGTCCATTACAAGCCCATCACAAGTCCATCACAAATTCCCCTCATGTCCATCACAAGCCCATCACAAGTCCATCATGATTTTGTTGTGCAAAATAATAGTTCAAAACAAATTTTACTGCTTGGCAGTAAAAAAATTGTATCAATATTTTTCTGCATAACAGTTCATGAAATGAGCATTGATTGCTCTTGATACAGGTGTTGGAGCAGACGGGTGTCAAAATGGAGGACATCTCAATGTTTGAGATCAACGAAGCCTTCAGCGTTGTCGTCCTGGCAAACATTAAACTCCTGGGATTGGATGCCAGTAAGGTCAACATCAACGGTGGCGCGGTCAGCCTTGGGCATCCGATAGGGTACGGTCAAAGTTAAAGATTCAGCAAACAGAATTAGAAGTTGTTTTTGAAGTGGAACCATGTTCGCACACATGCAGCACGTGCTCTTAAGGATGAGGCGTACGTATTTTGGTAACCCTATTGGGCGAAGGAGCCCAGAGTTTGTGCGTCCTACCTGAGCGCGACTTGTGCCAGCCTGTGCCACATCAGAAAATGGCTGTCATTGAATTAGTCTTTAACTGTCCAAGCTACGAGTTTCACCTGGAAAATAGATTTCTTTCTTAACTTGTATTTTTTTCTACCAATACAAAAGTTGTATACTTTTGAAGGACGCATCAAACGAATAAAGAAATCAGCCTGGTTATTGTGGAATTGTAACTTTACAATTTCGAATGAATTGCGGTCTGACAATAGTTTCAGAGTAGACTGGTTCCAGCCTTCCTGTCAGAATCAATAATGTGGGGACTGGGAACCAGTCTGCTCTCAGGGATGTCCGTTTGTGCACAAAAGCAACCCAATATAACAACCTTTGCTTTCGGAGGGTTGCGTTCTGTAGGGAGTTGAAATGGATACAGTTACGACTACACGCCTGTCGATCAGGGGTAGCAGTACATTGTGAAGCATAGTGATTTTTGTTACGTTTTTTCTTTTTGCAGGATGTCCGGAGCGAGGATCACGGGTCACATGGTACACAACCTGAAGCCTGGCGAGAAGGGCCTAGCTGGGATCTGTAACGGAGGGGGCGGAGCCTCGGCCATCCTGATAGAAAAATTGTAGGAGCCTCGACCATCCAGATTGAAAAACAGTTGGGGAGGGGGAATTCCACATGACGACACATGGAGTGTTATGTGCTTGTGTCCATGTAGCTCCATAGTCCGATGCAGTATGCATGAAAAACAAACACACAGAATTGTACATTTGGAAGGAACATACATGTACACTGCAAAATAAATGCACTGAAAGTGAAACTTGCTGAAGATCACAACATTTCTGGCAGTGAGACATTGGTAGGGTTTTGCAGTAACAGGTTCATGCGTTATTGCGTCATGGATTCAAGGTACCGGATCTGAATGCTTACTTAGATTATTCAGTCTTATGCATTGTACATACCTATATCACCCAGTGTATTCAGAATGAAAGATGTACCAATAGACCTAAGACACGATGATGTCACGCTATGTTTACACGTGTGCTTTCCTACGAGAGCCCGGTGGCTCTCGTCCTAACCTGGCTCCCATAGGAAAGCGCACACGTAATAATAATAATAATAGTGGGTACATGTATTTACAAAGTGCACGCATCCACCAGGACTAGTTCTCAAAGCGCTACATTATTATTACCCTGCTCATTGGGCCCATGAAACATTCCAAATACCATCTCAGCTCCCTGGGGAGTGTACAGCTTGATGCTGCCATTTCGGCGCAAGGAAGCTATTATCAACCAATCAATCTCACAGGTCCTCACAGGTACCATCACGTATATCTGCCCTCACAAGTACCCATTTACTCCTGGGTGGGGAGAAGCAATTGAATGACAAAGTGCCTTGCCCAAGGGCACACGCACCATGACCCCGGGCTGGACTGGAACCCACAACCTGCAGCTTTACCCGCAGACCACGAATCCAATGCCCTTAACCACGAGGCCACAGCACTACAAAGCATGACGTTATTGTCACAGGTCTATTCAACAAGCATCATTTGATATGTGAAATCAGGCTATTATTTTTTGAAAGTAAACTTTTAAGAAAAGATTTATATAGAGTTATGTTTGGTTTAGACAACGAGCAAGCGAACATTTAGGGATGCCCTCTAGCATCAAATGCAAGCCTGTCCCTTTGTTTATTGTTTTGATTACGTGGTGTTTTGGGAGGTCATTTTTGTTGAGTTATGCAAGCACCAATAAGCAGGCGGAGCTTTTAAAAGTTACAGATGAATATGCATCAAGTCTACAATAATAAAATCATGGAGATTTCAATTCCATCAATGATCATTAATTTTGGTTATGACAAGTCCATGTTTTTTTTTTAAAAAGTGGAATGTAACGTTGCGTGACTTACTTAATCCTCTTGGTCCCCAGTGGGACATAAGGCCGCAATTAGCTGCTGCCACTGAGTTCTGCCTTGGGCTTTGGCTTGTGCCTCACCCCACGTAAGCCCCATCTCTTCCAGTTCAGTTATTACTGTCCGGTGCCAGGTGGTCTTGGGCCTGCCTCTCTACCTTTTACCAGATGGAGTCCATCTCAAGGCGCCTTTGCATCACTTAACCCAGGAAAAATTGTAGCATAAAATCAGATTCAGACATTCTAATAACCCTGACAGTAGCATTTTATTTTGGTGTAAGGGCTCCATATACAATGTATTACATGTAAATGAAGATTATGAAAAATATAAGGTAATCTATTTTACAAAGTCCATCCACTTTAAACACGCATAAAAACGTGGGTTTCATAAATTAGGCACTTTTCCTTTATATTTTGGAAGTTAAAAATACATCAACTTTGGGGGCAATATTAATACATAAACATCCCTTCACCTGTGACTATCTATCAGTTGCTCGGACAAAATCTTCATAAAAATACAGCTGATAATTAATATTCATATTAAACTGTTGAATCAAATTTTCTTGGAATACAAAATAGACCTTTCTTTGGTAGGACAGTACAGACCCTTTGCATATGCCAACCATTTTGGAGGTTTCCTCTGTAATAATTAATGAAAGCACGAACTGGCTGTTCACTGCACCACTAAGATGGCTGCCGTGCAAAAGGTCTATACAGGGAAGTATAAGGATAAGCAATAAAATGTTCATATACATGTACACATACTTTCACTGTAAAAAATTGTATAATTTTTTTTCAACTGCTCTTTAGGGTTGATAAAAATGCATAGCAATAGATATGGAATTGATATATTTATGTACAAAAATGTCAAACATCAGCTTCTAAGTTTGAAACCAAGATTTTATCTTATAAAATATCAGGAAAAAAAGCTTGAAAAGGACTTTAAAAATGGTTCTATCTACCAGAATTTCCCTTTTTTTATACCTTATAAAACCCTAACCTTCCCAAATCCATCAAAATCCATCCCCCATTTGGGGTAATTTGGAAGGCAAGCCATGAGTATTTTTGATGGACTTGAAGTCAATCAAAATCCACCTATAGAAGTGGTTGTCTTGTGGTGGATTTCAGCAGATTTGGTTCTAAAGCATTATATGAAGCAGGGTCAGTGATGGATTTTGGCGGACTTGGTCCAGTACTTGTCTGGACAATATTTCTGAGTAATACCTGAATACTATGATAAAGTTTCCTAGGGGAAGAAAAGTAGCTGAAATTGGACATTGCCGTGGTATTGGATGTTCTATTCAAATGAACAAAATAAAACTCAATGAAAAAACAACATGGAATTCTTGGGAATCTGCGTAATTCCATGTGTTGAATTAAAATAGATATAAATACACATTCCAGTGCGTACGTTTTTAAGATTTGAAAAGAGCACAATTTCAGCATTACTGCTGTGAAAAACGCATGCTGATACCATCTTAAGTTAAAAAATTATGGAAGTCGGAACACCAAGAGATGTGATGAAGTGATGTGATGAAGTGGCCCTATTTTGGCCTGTATCTCCAAATGAGAATTCCTGACAAACGACTCATTTAGCTTGATCGCATCAAAAATGCTCTGAGCATTTCTTTGTTCATATAAATTTGTTAATATTTACAGGTAAAAATCTGTAAATTACTTAAATGTAAAATTCAAGGCACTTATGGCTGTATGCCTAATAAACCACGCCCTTAATATGTGGGTCATTCTATAAATTTGGGGTCCACTTTTTTTTCTTGTCCCTGTTACATCTGACATCTATGATTTGATAATTCTGATGCACTCCTTAATGCAGTTGTCCTCCCAGAAATCTGGTCCTTGGAAGGGGTGACTACTGCCTCAATTCTGCAAAATCCTCCGGCAATCACTGTCAATACGTTGAGGCAGAGCCAGTGACATCCTGGAGCAGTGTGGAGGATTTCAAGTATGTACATGTATAATTTAGGCCTAATTTATGCACGGCTGAGCATAAACAACTCAAGGTTCGGCCCAAGACCTTGACACAGTGCATCCTACAAAATCAGCTACACATTTTTGCCGCAAATCCTCAATCCTGCAAAATCCTCCATTTTGCAAGGAGGATTTGGGAGTATTTGATAAATCACTAAGGTAACGGGGACAGGAAAAAATGTCCCTCTTTCAAGTTGGACCCTAAATTTATAGAATGACCAATATTCAATCAGTACTTTAAAAATAGTGATAGCACACCTGAAAACTCAGCAAATGTATAACAGATATCAAACAGGACATCTTTGGTACAATGACGTTAATTTCTTGAAGAAAAATTTGATTTAGACGTCATAACTGATAACTGGTTTTGATTTTTAACGATACACAAATTCTCAGTTGGCCTTACAGGCTCATGTGTACTGTGCAGTAAGAAATCCTTAAGTGATGCCAATTAATCGATATGATGGATTTATATTTGAAGTTCGTGGGTTTTCCTTGAAGATTTCGGCTGAAGATTGCCTGGCTGGCTGGCTTCAGATCTTGTAAATCCCTTGACATAAGCAGACGGTTTGGAATCCTCAGTTGACTTGGGGAAGTCTACCCTGACGATGCCGGGTCTATCGTTTGAGTTGCTCAGTGTTCGCTTCTCACGGTCCATGGCGAATGCGCGGATCAAGACGTCGTCGATGGGGTTGCGACGAGATCGGGCAGATGACGCGGTAGCCGCGTCGCCTGACGACACCCCGGATGAGGAATTGGAATATCCGCACTGATTGGGCGAGTACTGGGATGAGGATGGCGAGATCGAATCTGGAGTCGCCTGATTGGATACCTGGTTGCTAGGCAACGGTTTTGTAGTAACATTGGAATCGGTGCCGTAGGCCTGCCTTAAAGAAGCATGCGTTAATTTTGCGTAGGTGCTGTTGTTGTTGGTCTCGGTTTTATGCCAAGATGGTGCATTGTGGGATTGCTGTCCCAATGCATCCTGGGATGGTCCGGGGGCTTTGATATGCTGTCCCTGCTGTTTGTCAAACTCGGCCTTTTGCTCCAAAGCAATCTTTGAAAGTCGCTGGAAGGGGCGGTTGTCGGAGGTATCTGGCGGATCCGAGTTTTGCTCAGATCTCCTGGATTGCATATCGGAATGGTTTGACATGATGGGACGGCGAGATACAGTCTGCAGAGAGATTGTGCTGCCACTGGATGACTCATCCTCACTGGAATCCGTCTTGAAATTGAAACTGGCAGCAACCACTGCACTCTCCGGTTCTCTTGGTTTGGATGTCTGCGGAAGATCGGGATGGGCGATGGGAGGGATATACGTGGCAGATACCAGCTCCTTCCCTGATTGGTCGTCATGGAATTTAGCATTTGAAGATGTATTCGGCTGCTGCACTGCTCTTGTGAAACTGCCGGTCCTCCTGCCCCTGGGTGGGGGTCCACGTATCACCGTGCGTGACCTCCCGTTATCCTCTGAATAACTTGATGGGTACGATTCCTGTGGATGATCGCCATTCATGTGATAGTTCATCGTTCCGTTTTGTCTTTGGTGGTTTGATTGTACGAGTCGCCCGTCCGCACTGGCGACTCTTGCATTACGATTCGGACTTGGAGACTGTCTTCTCCTTGCGATCATCCTCCCGCTAGGACCCTTAATCTCAGGCTTTGTTCTCTGTCGTGAGTTGGGATCTGATCCTGATGAGTCCTCAGTTCCTTCCGAGATCCTATCAAACCCGGACGGATTGCCATGCAGCGGCTGCCTCTGGTCCGGGGGATAATACACCGCCAACTGCTGCTGCACCGTTCTCAAACGAACCTCAAAGTGACGGCGCAGCTCCTCACGCACGTAGCTGAGCCTGCGCTCGTACTCTTCGGACCACAGCGCCCTCTCTTGAAGCATACGGCGGTCGATGCGATGCAGGCACTCAGTTCGTTCCGATGCGACACGCTCCTTACAAAGTTGATCCATACAGCTGCCTTGGTGCGTCAGCTTCTTATCCAATGTACCCAGCTGGTGTTGGAATTGCGCCCTCGTTGTCTCGATTTCGTACATCATTTTCTCCTTGCTTGCCTCCAGCTGGTTCTGAAGTTTGTGGATGTAGATGGAGCAGGTGCAATAGGTGGTAGTCATACCCTGACGTGGACAAAAAATTTGAATAAATGAATAGTGCAAATACTTTCTTTAACCCTAATTTCCCAGCAGTGTTGTAGGGGCGTGGTTAACTCGCAAACAGTGATAGGGCAATTAGAAAGGAACATCTGTGTCACAGTTTATTTTAATAGCTCGTGACTTGACTTTGAACTGGAAATTTGTGAGGACTTGTGAGGACTTGTGATGGCTTGTGAGGACTTATGAGGACTTGTGAGGACTTTGAAGACTTGTGATGACTTGTGAAGACTTGTGAAGACTTTTAAGGACTTGGGAGGACTTGTGGGGCCTTTTGAGGACTTACAATGACTTGTGAGGACTTCTGAAAATAATTTGTGAGGACTTGTGAGGACTTGAAAGGACCTGTGTGAGCTGGCGATTGTCCTGTGAGGGCTTGTGATGGTCTTGTGAGGTCTGGTGAGGAGTTGTGAAGACTTTTGAGGATTTGTGAGGACATGTGAAGACTTGTGAGGGCTTGGGACAACTCGCAAGGATTTGTGATGGACTTGTGAGGACTTGTAGGGACTTGTGAGGACTTGTAGGGACTTGTTAGGACTTGTGAGGTAAAATGAAGCTTTACCTTAGTGACGTGGCCATTCTCATCCTTATACAAACATTTCTGATGATGCTTGTGTCGATGGTGATGACCTACGCTCTTGCCTTCCGTAAGCTTCACGCTGTGGATATGTTGATGGAGTTGTTTTTCCCATAACACTGCGTTTCTAAGCTCTTCCTTGACGAAAGTAACTTGCTTCCGTTGTGATTGGTTGGTGGCAAGGGTCGGCTGGAAAAAAATACAAAAATCTGTCAGGCCGCCGCATGCCTCGAGTTTCCTTGGCATGAAACGACTAAAAATATTTCTATTCCCAATTGACTGGATGCCAGTCCATTGCAGGTTACTCCCCAGCTAATGCCGGTACCCATTTTAACTCCTGGGTGGAGAGAGGCAAGTGGGATGAAGTGGCCTGCCCAAGGACACAACATATGGCCAGCAGCTGGGTTCCAACCCCTGACCCTCTGGTCATGAGTCACAAACCCTTACCACTAGGCCAAATTCCCCCTTCAAGAAAAATACTATCACTCAACTCACTAGCCTCACTTGTGCCATGCGTAGGATTTGCACAACATTGTTGTACAGCTGCACAAACTTATTACCAATTTCATGGACCACTACCCGTCAAAAAGTGGGGATATATCCCCATACCCCCTCCCCTAGGATTTTACGCCCTTGTGCTTACTGCTCCAACTGAATTCCAGCGTTTGCTATTTCTCATATTTAATTGTTCACTAACCTTTTTGGCCAGTGAGGACGGTTTGCCCGTCTGCTTCTTCTGTTCGTCACCGTCTTTCTTGTGTTGGTTCTTCGCGGATGTCTTCTCTTTGTCTTCTTTAATCTCTTGCTCTCTCAGTTCTCTTCTGCCTCGGGTGCGGCCTGGGTCTTGCTTGATGGTATCGGCAACCTCCACATCCTGAGGGTATCAAAAATAGCGCAACATGCTTGGGGTGGCTAATCGTCTTTACTCTCAGCAGAAGCTGAATTGAGAAGGATGCACATCGTGGTAGCGCCATAGGCAGCCACTATCGTGTATGGCCACGGAGCACAGCCAGATCTAACGTGTTGACTTTTGCGCAGGGGAAAAAATGGAGAACCCAGAGAAAAACCTCCAGGAGAAAATCAACAAACAACTCTACTCACAATACAGTATTTCTCAAGGAACCAAACCTGGAACACAGCGCTGAGAGGCGAGTGCTTTCGGCACTGCGCCACCCTGCGCCACATGATGCTGTGATTCGATTTGTCCATCTTGATAACTCTTACAAGTTCCTAGATGGATTCTGAGCAACGACCTACCTGTCTGTGTCTGCGGTGCTGAGTTGTCTCCGGTCTGGCACCCTCTTTGTCATGGTTTGTGGCTGGGGGTTTGTGAGGGGAGGTGCTGTGGTGGCGGTGATGGTGGTGATGGTTGGAAGACTTGCTTTTCTGAAACTGATAGAAAAAATAGAAAACAATGTTTGAATGCGTTTGTTGCAACCCACGTCTGGCAATTTCTTTAAAAAAATTTTACTTACCCAAATTAAAAAACATTTGCTTGTCCTTTGCAATCAAAATCAGATCTGAAGTAAGTCATTTTTTTTTTAAAGTTGTTTTGTCCTGACAAAAAATACCCATGGGTTTTACCTTCATTGCAGACAATATCAGCATGACAACTTCAGCATGGTCATTCTTTCTTGCTAACTCCAATGCAGTTTCTCCATTCTAAAGTTAAAAAAAGGCAAACATACTATTTTATGCACATTGTTTTTCACATTGGGGCAGACGTGACACAAATGACAATATGTATTTAGTCCAACTTAAAATTCCTGTCCTTTCGAGGAAACAGTAATGACATGAAATAACCTTGATTCTGAGTGCCTCTAGAACAAAGTCTTTGACAAAATTCAGAGACGCTGCAAATATAAGAATATGACAGCTCAGTTGGTGGAGTGCTGGTGCAGTAATCAGGAGGTTCCGGGTCCGAATCCCAAATCAATTTTTGCAGGTCCCAGAGGGCCAGCCTAGTTATCATCTTTGAACCAGACTGACTGACTGACTGACCGATCGACTCACTGTCACTTGTGACTTAGACTGGTTGTAGACTGTTGAAAAGAGCTGGGCAGTGCTATTGTATAGGATTACCCTGTAACACAAATGAATGGGCAGTGCTATTGTATGAAAGAGCCGGGCAGTGCTATTGTATAGGATTACCCTGTAACACAAATGATTGGGCAAAATCCTGTCCATTATCCACTTGGACAGTGAGTATGTGTGGCCTAGTGGTAGAGCACAGGATTCATGATCGTGAGGTTGTGGGTTCGAGCCCCGCCGTGGCCATGCATGTTGTGCTCTTGAGTAAGGCGCTTTACCCCAATTACTCCTCTCAACCCAGATTTTATTTTGGGTACCGGCATTATTCAATGCTGGAAAGGTAACAGACTCGCTGTGGAGGAGGTGTGGCGATCCCCCCACAGCAGCATATGAGTCTGGCCCAATCGCTAATGAAAGAGAGATGGGCACTCCGTTCCTGTGAACACAAGTTCGTCCCCTTTACCTTTAATTTTTTATTCAATATCCTTTTCAAGTGAATATAGCTATTCTGAATCAATTGAATCAATCAAATCAATCTGAATCAATACAATTCTGTGTGTTCTTGGATTAGCTTTACTACGCTTGCATTGTCTTTTTTACTGTCTTGACCTACATATAGGCCTACCATAACTTACATTATTTTGAATGGTGAGGTCACTGGCTGCTTCAATCAGTATCTTGGATATTTTCTTCTTTCCTAGTCCAGCAGCTACGTGCAATGCTGTGTTCCCTTCCTGTGTTCAATAAAAACCAAAAGATCAACATAACCGACTTTAACAATGTCCTTTCTACCCACTTGTGTTGCATGGATTTCACACATGAATGATGACTCACCGAGTTAGTGACATTAACGTTGGAGTTGGCGCTTATTAGGATCCTACAGCAGGTGATGTGGCCAAACAGTGCGGCGATGTGTAATGGAGTCTCGGCGTTCTGGGATACAAAAAAAAAAAAAAGGATTTGTGTGCGGTTGGCAACTGTTGTGAATTTATTTCTGATTAGAAAAATGAGTGAATCAATTTGACTTACGTTATTCTTGATGTTTGGGTGTGAGCCAGCTCTGAGGAGTATCCGTGTAGTTTCATTGTGGCCATTCTGACAGGATTGATGCAGAGGCTTATTACCATGCTGTAAAAAAAAAGAAAAATTGTAAATTTGCTATTTCAAATTCCTCGAATTAGTTTGCCAATTTTTGTCAAGTGAATTGAATTGAAAAAGCCAATTCTTACAGCAAGTTTACTTCAACACACTCACACAACTGATAAAAAATGTCAAATTTTTCTGGTTTTCCCCCCATTTTTTTTTAATGCTATTGTTTTCTAATGGAGGCCATTTCTCACACCTTTTAAACTTTGCCTTCAAACTTTCAAACCAATTTATCAAAATTACTGCATGCAAGTGTTTCGCCATAAGAACCTGTACTACATTTTTATATTGGATGGCTTTGAGAGGGATACAAGAATATATTGCACGAGCTATAACAATATTGCACGAGTCGGAGACGCGTGCAATATATAATAGTTTACCTTGTTGCTGGCATGTAGGTTAGCCTTTCCTTGTTTGACTAACGCCAGCACAATCTCGTCGTATCCAGTCCAGGTGGCCTCGTGTAAGGCAGTATTGCCATTCTATTCACAGAAAAAAAACCAGAAAATTCATAAGTGTTTGAAAAGTTTTTAAATAATCTTGCCAATTTTTTTAAGTATTTAATATTAACTGCAAATACAACATACTGTTCATGGATGGTTTTGCATTTAATATAAAATATTTAAAAACCAGACATAAAATTTTCTCTGAACATTTCCTGTTTTTTCTTTTTTTTCATTCAGCTTTACCTCATCTTGTCTGTCCACTGCACACCCCTCCAGCAGTAATGCTCTGACCGCATCTATGTGGTTATCTATTACAGCCCTGTGCAAAGCGGTGCATCCATACTGGAAAATAGGGGGATAGGGGAGATCGAGTGAAATGTGGTACAATAGTCGATTAAAGACTATATGATTGGTTTCTTTGGGACATCAAAATGCAAGGTGCTGTTTATTAGGAAGTACTACGAATTGGTGGACAGTACTTCTGTCTGTGAAGAAGTCCACAGAACTATGACTGCCACCGTGTATGACGGTTAAGGTACATCCTACGTGTAGATAGACAATTGATGTCTGCAACAAGTTTCAAAACTAAAACTTACAACATCCTGTGCATCCAGATCACAGCCGAGGTGAACACACAGCTTGGCTGTCTCAGCCTGGCCATAGTTGGCTGCGTAGTGGAGAGCCGTCCGTCCATACTAGCAAGCAGAAAGAGAACAGTTTATTACAAGTAACAGTTAATTAAATGTGGGTTATTCAATACATCTAGCAAAGTGTGACATTTTTCAAATTTCTATTTTTGCCAGTAGGTACATGTACGTAATTTACATGTACCTTTAATACATCTCTTGGAGGTAGACGGTTTTAACGCATACATTGTATGTGCAAAAGTTACAAAAACTTTGATGAATGTAACAGGGACTGGGGGAAAAGTGTCCCAAATTTATAAAATGACCCATGTACAAGTATGACCGGCAGAATTCGAACAGAGCACCCAAACTATTCTACAAGTGCACTTTTATATATTAAGGATGCCCTGTTTTTCCATTCAGGGCAAACTCAGACATCCAATTTTCAAATGCCAGTTTTAAAGTTGTGTGTGAACCGGTACATTTTAAACAGAAATTCATGCCCTGTTGGGCATGGCTCCCAATCACAAACCTTGTCTGCATTAAAGCCAGCTCCTGATTGGACCAGATCTCTGATGTAATCCACCTGCCCTTTACTGGCAGCCAATCGTAATCTTTCTGAGAGCTGTGCTGACTGCTGCGCCATAGCCTAGGCCATTTTCCCTTAAGGATGAGTTAGACTCCTTTGCATTGTACAAGCTGCTGTGAATAATGTCGGTTACCATTCACCTAATGAAAAGAGAAAAGAATTCAAGCATTATGAGTACATTTTTTTTTATTATACATGTATCACTGAGGAATTTTCATGGCAACTTTTTAGCTGGGCGATAGCAGCTCAACAAATCATCGTGTCTCTCCGTTAGTCCGTTAGTTAGGTAGTAACAAACGTTGACATTGCCTGTTGCTCCTACATATTTTGACTGATTTCAACCAAGCTTTGTCAAAAGTATCAGTAGCCCAGCCCCAACATGTCACATGACCAAACTGGGGTCAAAGGTCATCATGGAGTCACTGGGGTCAAAAACCTGATTCTTGTTTTACTCAAAACACCACTCCTTCCAGAAATTACATGGCAAAATCACGTGACTCATGCATGAACACGCATTCGTTGGCCTGCAGCTTCCGAGATCTGAACGAGCTTGTTTTTCAATTCACTGGTGAGCCTTTTTTTGGCAATGTGCTCTTCTTTTTAAACAAACAGTCGTTTAACCTTCAAAAAAATTTGGCAGCATTCAAATGCAAGACCCTCTTACTATGCAAGTTACAGCTTACAATGAAGTAATTGAGTATTGTGAGTTGATGTAATGGGTTAAAATGCCGTCCCCTAGAGATCGCGAGTTGATATAGTGGCTCGAGTGTCACAGTGCATTGTTTTAATTCCGTCAAATTAAGCTAATTGATTCTGTACTCAAAGGGTTAACGGTTGAAAAGTTTCGGATGGGTAAGTAAGGTTTGTATCCCCTTGCAATATATGAGGAATGGCTGTTAAGATTATTACTCCTTTTGAATTTGTGATGGTTTTTGTAAGATGTGAATTTCAAAAATAGGGCTGTCCAGTTTCGAATAATTTAGTGTGAACTACAGGAATTTTGATGTTTTTGTAACATACAAAACATTCATCAGGCTGTAGATGGAGTTGGTCTGTAAGTATGACTGTTGTAGACTCAGCAGCACAATAAACGTCTATCAGTCTTAAAAGGTTCCTCTCTCGCTTCAAAGGTTTCCTGATCCCAACCTATCGAACTGATTGTGACTGACCAGGTCGTCCACTTCAACACCTCTCTCCGCCCTCTTTGTCCGCTATTGATCCCCCAAACATCCACCCCCTACCAGTTATTGATGTACACGTCTACCTCCGATTAACACATCAAAAGAACGACGCAACCCATCGCCCTGCAAATCCTGTGTCAGCATCCAAACAGGTCTTTGTGTTCGGACAATGCCCTCATACCAATGTAGGGAGGACGCCTATTAAAGCCACTTGCTGTCTAGGATAGGTTTGCCAGCCAATTTCATGCAATGTTCATGCACTACTGAAAATCGGTCTTTCGTTTTCGTCTGAATTTGAATGCACATCTTTAATCCCATTTCAATTCAATAAAAGTTCAACTGTTTTCATTGTCATCCGGTTTTGAGAAACAGACGGCTAATTACGTTACCTATGCATTCATTTACGCAAGCAATTGATTTCAGGTATAGCTAATTTGATTGACGATTAATGAAAAAGAAACCCCTAATTGTATCTTTTGCCGATGGCATTAAACTCAAGTGAAATAGAATGGTGAATGTTTGAAATCACCCTCTAAAAGCGAAAAAGTCTTGTAAACGAATCTGAATGGACATAAACGAAAGGTGCTGCTCAATCACTTAATTGATTAAACTGAAATGGAATCGAATGCTCTGGTAGCGAAATTGAAACCCGTGTTGAGAGCAATTCTCGAATTCAGACGAAAATGAATGACCGATTTTCAGAAGTGAATGAACATTTTAGGAAAATGGCCAGGAAAACCTATAACTTTACTGAAAGGAAAAGCATACCATCTCAGCCAAACTCAAAAAATTAAAAGTGCTGGTGGATTTTTTTACTGCCTGTCTGCTTGCACAATGGATTAAAATCAAGATAAGGTTTTTGATCTTTTAAATTCAGCGTCCCTCCAAATCAGATTTTTTTGTCACTTACATGCCTGAAATGCCTGGGGGGGGGGGGGGGGGGAACAAGGACTTCATTGTGTAATCTGAAGTGAACAGTGTAATGGCATCAGGGGTAGGCCATAACGCATTCCTGATGGCAATTTTCAGCTGCATGGCATCACACTATTTAGCTTCTGGTACAAAGAGCACCCTTTTTGGAAAAGCAAACCAGAATTTATGTTCATTTTCTGATCATGGATTCTCAAGGACAACTGTACACATGTAAACCAGAGGGTTAAATCACAGTCAAAACATCAACTATTAAAAATCAAATTTTACTTTACTTCTCTGCACAATTTGTGTACTTTAATTAATGTAATTAGTGCATTCTAGTCTACACTGTAACTTGTTCGTACATATGTACATTTTTTTATACATGTTTGACCTTTTTTCATTCTGAGAATTTTATGTGTGTGTACATTTTCATTCTCTGTACACTTTCATAGGAGAGTCCATTTCCATAGGAACTAAATATGGAAATACCGGTAACATTTTGAAAAAAAATCTTCCATCTTCAAAAGGGGAAAAATCTTGTTCATTTAAAATGTAAATTGTATTCATTCTTCAATGTGCTTCTTTGTATGTAAACCAGTTTTCATAACAATAAGTTAATTTTAGAAATAGAACCAGTACCAGTCTCACCCCATGAATTGTACTTCTGATATGTTATGTATGTATTCTATTATGAGTAAAATGTGACAATGAAACTGACATTGATTGATGGGGAAACTGATTCCAGTCCCAGTAAATGGTGTTCACAGTGAGGGCACAGTCTGTATCTGGTACAAACAAATGACATCGCTGCATGTACATTGTATACTAGAAATGTACCGGCCTGATAATGTTTACAGAATATAAAATGCTCCATTTTCTTGATTAAATCCATGTTGCAACTTGGTCTTTTTGACAGCCATGCTTAGGCCAAAAAAAAAAAGTCTCCGGTTTCTGGTATGCACGCGCGTCGCCGTAGCCATGCGCGTCGGGAAAATCAAAAAGTTTTTTTTTCAATGAAAAATGATGTCTCAAAACCGCCAAACTCACTGGTTTGACTGGAATCCTGCTGCTGCACAATTTTAACGTGCTTTTAGATTGGGTTATGGTCGAGAATAAGCTTTATGTGGCCTCTCTGGACTCCCATATATTTGCACTAAGTTTAGTCAGGCACCATTTGCAGTCATCAGCCGACATTTGAAGCCAAAAAATCAGGTAAAAAAAAAAAAAAAGCCGCGTCGCCGCACCACTTTTTGGGCAAGCTCCATACCAGAAACCGGAGACTTTTTTTTTGTGCCTTAGCTACTATTAATTTTAAAGGCATTTTCTGATCAAAGTACAATGCATGCCATTTCATAGACCAATGTACAGTACAAATGTACGTGTGTATGAGTCAGCCATAATTCTCAGAAACTGGTGTTACGTTTCTTGCCAAGATTAAGAACAGGAATGACCGAGAAATGTCTGAAATACCGCTACTTGAAAAGATGTTCTTGGAATTAACCACACTGACTAGGTGAGGCCATGGGGCAAAACAAAATTCTTATTTTTTTTCACAAAATGGTCTCCTCCTTTAAAAACTGAACCAGAATACTATTTAGGACATTTAGCGTCATCGTAAAATAAGGACACATAAATTATCCTGACTAAAAATGACAAAACATAGCACTCCATCTGCATAAGAAAACACCAAAACATGAGACTTCGATGAAAGTTTATGTCCGTATTGAGTCTCCATTTGGTCTTTAAATACCACCATCAGGTGATGGTGTAAATCATGCATTTTATTAGATAATATCTTGCAGGTGTTAGGAACTCAATCATAATAACACTACAGACAGCGACACAGAGGTTTTGCATGTACACTGTATGTAGGATTGTAGAACTTGAGTAAAAGTTTATCTAAAAAGATAGACCATTTTTTGTAGATGTTCATGTAAAAATCAACTAAATCAGCTAAAGAAACAGGAAAAGTTACACAAAACTGCACCCAAAAAATGTCCATTGTTTGAAAATGCTGATTTCTTAATAAGTATTAAGACTAAAATACTGCCTTGTTGTAAAAGATGAAACTTTTGAAACTGGAAGTCATGTCATAGATCTGCATACATCATTTACATGTTTTAAAAAATTGCTAGCAGAACTTTCAAGAAATTCAAGTTTGTCCAATATGCAGGCAAAATTGCTGCTAGTTCACTGTAAGATTCGTAACTTTGTCACTTTCTTGAAGAAACAACAAACATGGATAACAGATAAATTAATTGTGCAAAATTATCTCGCCAAAAGTTCTGGAACAAACTGAAGCTTATAAATGTATTTATAATGTATACAATGTACATTGTACTTGTACATGTATGCTTGGGAAAATTTCTGAAGACCAAACACTGTTTTACATATAAAATCATTTTTTACAAAATTTACATGTAAAAACTCAAATCCAGTTAACATATCGAACTGCGTTGGATGTGAACCTGGCTCGGTGTAAAAAAACAAACAAACAAAGAACAAAAGTAACCATAATCTCCTTTAAATTCAGAGAAGCTGCAGTAACACATCTCCCTAATGGTGGTATCAAATGACACAAAATCTACCTTGCCAGAAAAGAAATCCCCAAGTAGACCTAATGGCTACCCTAAAACTGGGACATTACAGACCTCTAGCCTACCCTCACCCCAACAAATTAATCAATTGTACATAATGGGTTCCTTCAGTATGACACCATTGAACAGGCAGGGCAAATACCATACATGTCAAGTACTGGTACTCCATGCAAAATACATTTGCAGAAGGGAAAAAGAATTGACAGTTTGTACAGCAAGTTACTGTATATTTCAAAACTTGAAGGTTTCCTGACTGTACAAGTCAAAAGTTACTTGCAAACTTTGATTCACCAAAGAAGAATTCATAAAAGCGTTTTGGATGACTGCAAATTATGTATAGCCTGTCAGCACCATTCAAACTTCCAGTGTCTGGCTAATGCATTCCTGAAAACTTCACAAAAGGTTAGAATTTTATTGCCGCTGCAGGTAATGCAGATCAAGAATATA